CACCCCGGCCGGGCTCCCCCCGCTTCGCTGGGGTCAGGCCGGGCCGTACGGTGCGGGGTTTCGGGCTATCCGCCCCTGGCTCCCGGCCGGCGTCAGTGTCCGGCCCCTGTGGGGCCTGCGAGCAAGGCCGTGTGAGAGAGCGGGCTGGGAAGGGACCCGCGGCAGGCACCGACTAATCTCCTTGCACCTTTCTTTGCAGCAAGAAGAAACAGAAGGAGAAGAAAAGGAAAAGGGAAGAGGATGCAGCAGAACAACTTGATATTGTTGGTGAGCTGCTTGTGGGGAGCTACGTGCCTGTGTGGAAACTGTAGGGCACAGCAGAAGCTGAAGAGCTTATTATAGGAGTTTGTAAACTAAGTGTAGTCCTGTAGAGTTTTATGACTGTTTCTCACAATATGATATTTGCATGTTGGGATATTCCTAGACTCCAAGTGGAACTTCTGACACCAATGGGAAAGATTTTCCACTTATCTTTTCAACTTATCTTTTTAGCTAAAATATGTTCTTATATAATCTCGAGCTACTTAATCAGCGTGGAGTTGGTTTTTTTTTTACCCCTTGCAGTTGAGGAACTCGCTCTCAGGAGGAGAGAGTTTTTTTAGCACCATAATGCTGTTATTTAATGAGTGCATTTTTATGTGAGTAACTTGTGTCTTCTGTTATTATTACTTTGAAAATTAGGAGTTGTTTTACTTGTGCTTTCTATTCTTACTCTGCCACTAGTTACTTTCTGAGTTGGTTCTTTAGTTCACTCAAATCTTTCATCCTTTAAAAAAGAGTCTTGATTAGTTTGTTATTTGACGTATTTGCTTGACTGCTGTGAAGTGTTCACATTATGAGTTTGCTACTGTTAGCTGAAACTGAAGACACAAACATTTAACAGGTAACAAAATATAACTTTACTTTCTATTTTTCACAAAGTGGAAGGATCACAGTATGTATGGCCATGAGTGATAACTTGACAGGATGTTGTCCTTCACTGCTGTCATATCCTTGATTGACCATGCTTCATTTCACAAACAAAAACAGCTGAAAAATAATCACAGTTTTCAGAGAGACAGATGTATGCTGTAGCACAGTGCACATTGCAGGGTAAACAGTCTTCTGTTAGGTGTATATGAGCAAAAGCTAAAGCAGTATAAGGGGAAATCATCCTTCTTCCTGTGTTAAGATAAATTACAATATGTGAGAAAATTATCTGTTGTATCTTACATTGGGAAAATGTTACAGATGTTTTACATTCTTTAGTTCAGCCACATTTCAAAAAAGTGGGAGAGATTTGGAAAAATCATTTATAGATATGTGAACCCTGACTCCATAGGACAAGACCATTAGCTCCATATGTTGTGTAAAGATAGTGGAAGATTATTTCTGCTCAAGGCAGATTGACTTACCAAATTTACCATGTGGAAAAAAGCCACTGTGTGCAGATTAATTAGAAATTGTTATCTTAATCCAGTATAAAGTATTTATAAGATAATATACCAGCATAAAATTTTACCATTAAAAAAACCCTAAAATATCATAATTCTAATTCATGCACATGAGCAGGGCTACATCTAACTTTGATAGAATTCTGTGGGGCCCAAATGTTCAAATACAGATTGGTTTGAACAGCTGAAGTCTCAGAATTAGAGCTGACATGAAGTAATTTAACAGCAAGATGAGACAGTTTGTTTCTGTTGTCTTGGAGAATCTAATAATTGGATATGACCCCAAAACTGCAGAAGACTGTTCCAGAGGGGGGGGTGGAAGCTTTCTTGTAAGGCGTGTCTTTGCTGCATGAGGTGAATGGATGAGTTGCTCCACAGACTAAGACAAAGGATGGATTAAGTGCAGGAGCCTGTAAGTAGGGATGGCAGGGTGGGCAGAACAACAGGACTTCCTGATTCAGCAGCAACACCCTTAAATTTGCTCTGTACTATAAAATAATTCACAAAGATCTTGAGATAGCAGTTGTATCTTTAGAATTTCGAATCTCGGAGAAGATCCAGAAATATCATCTCTTGAAGCAGTGTAATCAGGAGTTGTAATTACTCTAACTGGCATGGTTTTGTATTTTAGGAAACTGGTGGGCTATCAGTAATTTTGGTGAAATTACAGGAACTATAGCCATTGAAATGGGAAAAGGAGCTTATATCCACGCCCTTGACAACGGCTTGTTTACGCTTGGAGCACCACATAAAGGTTTGTTTCAGGAAACTGGGAAATAAGCAGTTTTAGTAACAAAAGCCATAAAATTAGCATCACTTAAAGGCAAGCAATTTTACAGCTAAAAGCAGTTTGTTACAAATAATGCAGTAATCCTAGATGTAGCACGCAGATGACTTAAACCTAATGACTACCAATCAGTTTCGCTTATCTAGTTCCTTGCTGGTTTATGTGTACAATAAATGGAGCTGATCACCTGTTAAAGGCCATACCACTTACTGCATAAAAAGCAGTAGAATTTTTATTACATCCTATAAACTCTTTGAGGTCAGCTGAAGAGTGAAACTCAGTGCAAATGAGTTTGAAGGTTTATTGCTGCATCCTAATCTTAATGTACTTGTTTTGTTGCTGCACAAGTGGGCTACTAACACAGTAGGATAATTAGCTTGTCCTTGCTTTGAAAGCCATCAGTCAGGCAAGGACTGCTCATTGTGTTTCACCTCCAGGGTGAGATTGAAGCAACAACAGCATTATTACCACATTTTGGTTTTGTGGGATGGAGAGACTGATAGCTTTTAGGATATTGAGCTGTGTTACCGTAGCTGAACCATAATACATTTTCTTATGGGGGGAAATTAAAAAAAAAAAAAAAAAAAAAAAAGGGAAAAAAAAGAAAACCAATACAAGGAGGCTGGCGTTTTCAAAGCCACCTGAATAAATACAAACTATTTCCAACTGTAAATCTCTTCATACAAGGACTTTTATTATTTTGTCTTATTTTAAGCACTCTATATGAACCTAGTTAAGTGTCTGCATTGTTTTGGGCTTTTTAAAGAGTGAATATTCAGAAAGGAATTGTAAAAAAAGTATTGCAGCTTTCCATAGTGTTTATCAATAGCCATTGTTCAATTCTTCAGCTTGTTTGAAGCTGCAGTTTTAACAGGTTAAAATATTGTGTTTAATACTTCATACAAAACTAATGAAAAACTCATTCCTCAGATGATGAAGGCCCTAGTCCTCCTGAACAATTTACAGCTGTAAAGTTGTCTGATACAAGGTAATTACTGAAACAATGTTACAAGTTTTGATACTTGTTATCTTTGTTAAGGGTGTGAATACCTTTTAATTCTCTTGAAATACATGGCCTACTAATGTGCTTGTGATGTGCTGAATATTGTGTATTGCTTGTGTTTAAAAGCATTCTTTTGTTTTCCTGCTTCTTCTCTGAGGATCGCTCTGAAGTCTGGTTATGGCAAATACCTTGGTATAAATTCTGACGGGCTTGTTATTGGACGTTCAGATGCAATAGGATCAAGGGAGCAATGGGAGCCTGTCTTCCAAGACGTAAGCTGTTTGGAGGAGTTCATTTGATGTTCTTGGCATTTGACTGTGTCTTGAGTTCACTTATATTTATGTTCTTTGTCTGTGAAGTAAATGCCTTTTGCAATCTTTTCCATATTGTAACTATTATTATATCAAAGACATTGCAGTTTTTAATATTTCGAAGACCTTAAAATACTTCAAGTTACCTTGTTTTGTCAGCTATAAGCACCTTAAGAATGAAGGAGCCAGCAAGCTTGCTCATCAGCTAGTGAAGTGTCCATGTATAAAAAAAAGAGTAAAACATATTTACAGAGTTTTCTGGTGTGCTGTAAAGGATAAATGTTATGAATCAAGGCCCTTAAATAAACTTTGTACACCAACACTGTGATGTTATTCCTGCAGAAGAAGATGGCATTACTGGCCGCAAACAGCCGGTTTATTAGATGTAATGAAGAGGGAGATATAGAAGCCAAAAGCAAAACTGCAGGGGAAGAAGAAATGATAAAGGTAATCTTTAACTTCTACAGTTAATACAGGAATGCTGTGTCTATGCAACCAACCTGCTGTGTCTGTGTGCTACAATTCACTGTTAATATAGTTAAAATAGTTTTCTTATAAGCTATCAAGTGATTTGGCCACAAGAAAGGTAAATTACTTCCAGGGCTGCATAAACTGAGATGCTTCCAGTAGAGATGGGAAGATATTGTACCAGTACGAAATGTACTGGTGAAAGACATTGGAGGGCAAAGACAGTCTGATATTCCAGATAGTTCTGAACAGCTTGGTACAGAAGAGGTGAATTATGACTGGAGAAAGACCAGAGAAGGGTTTACCAGAATGGTGCAGAAGGGAGATCTTTTAAGTAAGAGAATGTAAAAGAAACTACCATGACTTCATCTGGATGTGGAAAATGTGCCTCCAAACAGAGACAGGTTTCTATGAGTCAGAGCAATAATATTTTTAAGCCAGTCTCTGAAAAAGGCATTTTTACCTCTGCTAAAACTAAGAACTGTAATGGTGCTTCTTTGAGATACAGGTGATTGTGCCCTACAGCAGCATCAAGGACTACACTTAATATTTCTTATACTTAGGGCATCTCTTGCTTTTATTGCAGTGGTCTCCAGGTGAGAATTAACCAAGTTGAAACTGGTAACTTAAAAACTCGCCATGGCTCTCATTCTGTTATGAAGGATATGTTGTCATCTTTGACCTGTAAATACAGGTGTTTTCTAGTTCATTCTTGTTTTTCTCTCTATGACTAGATTCGTACTTGTGCTGAAAGAGAAGCTAAGAAGAAAGATGATGTTCCACAAGAAGACAAAGGAAACGTTAAACAGTGTGAAATCAATTACGTGTACGTAGTTTAGAGCTGTGAACAGGCTCAGGCACATTTTTTCACTTCTGTTTGGTACAAGGGCCAAGCTCCCACCTAGCCTTTCACTCGCTTCCCCTCAGCAGGACAAAGGAAGAAAATAAGATGACAAAGCTCATGGGTTGAGGTAAAGACAGGGAGATTGCATACCAGTTACCATGACAGGTAAAACAGACTCAACTTGTGGAAAATTAATTGCATTTATGGCCCATTAAAGTAGATTGGGTAGTGAGAAGCAAAGACAAACACTCAAACCAACGCCTTTCCTTCCCCTGTTTTACCAACCTCAGCTTCACTCCAGATTTCTCTACCTGCTCCTCTAAGCAGGGTGGGGGTATGGGTCAATACTTAAGTGGTTTCTGCCTGCCACTCCTTTCCTCCATCACTTCTCCCTTGCTGTGGCTTGGTCCTCTCCATAGGCTGGAAGGGAAGATCTGTTCCAATGCCTGAAGCACCTTTCCTTCCTGTTCAGTTCTCCAGTTCGGTTCCATTCTTGCCAGTTCATCTCCTTGACATTCACATTGCCATTTTGCACTTTTTTTTGTCTTCTATTTTTTTTTGCCTGTGTGACATTGTACACCTTCTTAAATATGTTTTCAGTAGGTACTACCAGCTTTCCTGATGGACTTGGCTGTGTCCTGCAGGGGGTCTGTTGTGGAGCCAGCCATGTCCAGTATGGGGCACCCCAGCCTCTTCTCACAGAGCCCACCTTGCCACCTACACCCAATACACTTTTGCTCCCTGACTTGTCATGGTAGTAGTTGATGAAGGGGCTTTTTAGAATTTTCAGACACATCATGCTAATAGTGTAGGGCTCTTTCCCATTTAGACATCCAAAAAGACCCTGAATAGTTTTCTTCTACAGAAGTCTTACTGCAATACTGGCTACTGTGGACTTTATTAGGCCAGTTGTCTACTGTTTAATAGACTCTTATCACAGCTGTTTTATTCAAACACAAAGCTTTAAAGAAGTTACACTTTGTAATTTTTTTCGCCCCGACAGAAAGAAATTCCAAAGTTTTCAAGACAAAAAGCTTAAAATAAGCAAAGAAGATACAAAAGCCCTCAGAAAAGCCAGGAAAGAAGGCACTTTTCATGAAATGCTGCTCGACAGGTACTTCAAAGTACAAGAAATAGTTTACTGATGTAAAAACTACTGGGAGATGGAATTACAGTAAACCTGGGGTACAAAAGAAAGGTAGATTTCAGGGGTGTAGGGTGCTGAGCATTTCCTCTGCAGTCAGTGTTCTGCCTGAGTTCTGGGATTGGCTTTTTTTGTTCTGAATTTTCACTTCAGCTGAAATGGGCAGATGTAGATTTACCCAGAAATTAATTCTTCTGAGAATCTTGTAACTAGGTTGTTCAGTTTTAGTACAGAGGAGTTGAGGGATTAATCTTTTTAATCACAAAAATTAAGCTAATTTTTCATACCTCTGGCACTGGAACATTTAGCAGAGGGAAGAGTTGCATTTTAAAGAGAAATAGTATTTATTAATAATAGTCTTCATGTTACCTAGTTGGGAATAATTTTTTTTTTTTTTTTTTTTTTTCCCCCTGAGCTGAGACTACAGAAACTTTCTTGAATTTTAAAAATTTTGTATTGGTATACAGTATAAATATTTGCATTAACACAGTGGGTGGATTGCAGAAGACTATTTGTGATAGTTGCAAGTGATGTGAGAACCTCAGCTCCTGGTCCATCAGAGGTTGAATGTCAGTTTAAAATCACAGTGAATCTGAATTCCATTCCTTAGAGTGGACAAAACACAATTGGTGATGATTGGAAGTGGAAGACAAGGTTAACTTTAGACATTGCAGGTTTAGCTTCTTAAGAAAACAAAGTTAATTAACAAATCATAAGTGCTGTTAGGTTTTTATATGTGCTTGCTTTGAAGTAAAGTCTAAGAAGAATTGCTTTCACTGCTTCCCTAGTGCTTTGAGACTGATAGAACATCTAGATGTAATCATGCTTGGTCTTAATCTAAATCTTGTTTCATTACTCTTTATAGGAGAGCAAAAGTGAAAGCGGATAGATACTGCAAGTGACAACCAGCTGGTCCATTTTCTTCTGCATCTTTGAAAACAAGAGCAAAATGTTTTGTAATTATTTTTTATCGAAGGTGTTTTGCTGATGTTATTATGTTATTTCTAAAGGATCACCTGAGAGCTATAACTAAGCATCAAACGAATGTCATCTTTCAGTAATGAATACTATTAAGTTCACTTTAAAACTGTGTGCTATTAAAACTGTGAGATAATTATTTAATGGAAAGACCCACTGAATCTTCCAAGGTTGATGAAAGGAACCTGAATTTTAGAGACAGAGGAGAAGAGAACGACAAAGAATTTCAAAAGTAAAAATATGTTCAACATGTTGAAGCATTAAGAAATACATAACTGCATTGAGCAAGAAGAAATAATTGAAATTTATGCATGTCTTGGAACACATCCTGCTGGATCCCAAGTTGGAGATCTGTGGAGCCATTCTACACTGCATCAGGTGAGGACTGGGCCAGAACATTGAGACTTCATAAAACAATGTTCAAAACAGACCCACTGTTGAAGTGCATAAGTGGCATAATCCTTCTGCTGGATAAAGTGTTGACAAGTCACAAAGAACCCTGTTACAGAGGAAAACGACGGTGCTTCATAAGAAAAAGGGATGGCTCTTGTGCTAGCTGGCTGCTTATTTTACAAGAGGGAAAAACCATTTTTGCAAAGTTGCTGGTTTCTCTACAGCATGGACTAAAATTTGTTTAATAAACCAGCAGGGACTTTTTTTTAAGGTCATAATATAATATGCATTCCTTGTATCTTACATAAAATATGGTTACCCCTGTCTGCTCTGATTACCAAGAAGCTTTTCAGTAACAACATCTCCATAGGAACTACCTCAGTCAGAACAACACTTGCTCTCTGCACAGCTTCTGTAATGGGAGACATAAAGATTACTTTGCAAGAATTTTCAGGATTTTTATGGTAATAATTTGAATTGTCTCTATGGAGTTTCTTGTAGCTGTCAACTTGAACTGCACACGTAGTACAAAACTAAGTTCCTGCAAGATTAAGATGTGTCTAAAAAGAGCATGGGAAGACCAATAAAATCTAGTCAGTAATGGCAGTTTATAATGGTCTAATTTCATAGGCAGTTGATCGTTAGGAAGGAGCACAAAGAATTTAAGTAGTCATAATTGTTTAAAACCTCTGACTTTTCAGCGTGAAAACACATTATATTAGGGAAGGCTACCTGAAGTTAGTAATAGAAGCATTTATTTCTCAAAGAATTTAGAAAAATGTAGACTGTACATACAGATTTTATGGAACCAAAAGAATAAGGTCTCCACAGGCTGGGCAAGTTTGTGATGTAACAGGGATTTTTAGAAACTAAATATTTCTAGAAGAGCAAATAAAAATCCAGACCTTTCTCTGATGGCATTTTTAAGCTTTCCATACCAAGCTCTATTCCACTGAGTACCAAGATTTTTGCTCTGAGGCTTTTTTTGTTTGTTTTGTTTCTGTTGTTTACCTGTTAAAACTGGTATTCATTTAGTAGCTATTTTAAAAGAATAGGCACACTGACTAGTTCCTTATATCTATTTTGAAATGGGATGAATATCTATTCTGGAATGAGTGCCTCTTCCCACTCTGCCTTTTTCTGTTGAGATATTAAATCAGAGAAGAAAATGCCCCCTCTGGGGAGCTGGTTTGTGCAATTATTGTGACAGTTGTAACTTTTATGGACAAATCATTTGAGACCTACCTGTCATTCCAGCTGCTCCATAGGAATTTGTATTTTAATGCCATGGAAGTTACAGCGTAATGCTGAGAAATTAAATAAAAGCAAGGTCAATGCTGAATAAAAAAAAGTAGTAAAATGAAATTATCAAATGAGCATTTTCCCCTCAATTTTCAGAGGCAGAGAAGACCCCTTGGTAGCTGGTTTTTCTTTTCAACCCATTTAACTTGCATGACCTTCTAGAGAATTGTCTTTTCTCCTGTATCTGTCACTTACCTGATGTAAGTTCACTGCCTGAACAGTACTTCAGGAAATACTGTTAACCAAAATGTAATAGTATCAGGTGGTCACATAAACTGATTAAATGCATGAAATTTTTACCAGTATATCAAGTTCAATAGCTGCTTTTTAAAGTTTTTCACACACTTTTTTTTCCTAGTACAAAAAGTTGAGTATAAGC